ACGGATGCAGCATGGGCTTCTACAGGCGACACCCCTGGGGCAATGCAGCACACCAATAGCAAACCACTTGAACTCGCTCCACAATCATGTAAAAGCCACCGTCATCATCACCCCTCTTACATACAAAGTCAGAGACTCTCGGGTAAGACTGGACGCAGTCAACACTGCCCCTGGCTTTCCCACTGGTCACTCCTGGCTGATACAGCAATGCAGGCTTCTGTGCACAATAAATCCCTCATTCTGGTGACTTCGACCTATCATCCGGGATTCGGTCTGATTATTGTAGTGTTCTAAGCACAATCACCATCATTCCATCGCACACAATCTCGGGCACGACTGGACGCAGTCAGCACCAGCCCAGACTTCGCCAGCGGTTACTGCTGCCTGCTACAGCAATGCAGGCTTCTGTGCACAATAAATACCTCCCAATGGTGGCTTCAACCTTTTACCTTCCACCTGGGATTCGGCCTCATGATTTTAGTGATGTGAGTACAACCACTGCTTACACCGCTACAAGCCTGACTCAGATCACGCGGAGTGGGAGTACTATAAAGGCCAATGGTTGCTGATGTCTGATTCCGCAGCTACGCGTACCACCAACGCCTCTCCTCCTTATGTTCGGCATTAGTTATGGGAAGGCAACCTGGCTAATGTCTGAGGAGCAGATTCGATCGCTGGGACAACATGTTTTGCCAATAGAGGAGAATATCCGTCGCGGATTCTTCATCAGATATGAGCAGAAAGCAGTAGCAGAAGCGGGTAACACATACACAGGAATTTCCAGTATTCATAGAACAGATTCATTACTGTACACGTACGACAAGTAACGATAGTTGCCATCTTGTGTGTTGATCGCTTGGTTACTGGCATGCGGGTCCTGACTTGCTGAACTTTCATCACACGTGATGGAATTGGATGTGAGGATTGTTCGGCCATCTGGTTCCCCGGTGTTGGCGTAAGGCGACGCGGTGGCCTGTGCCTTCCCCAAATGGTGAATCGGTTTGACCAAATTGAGCCCCAGTACCGAATACGGATTATGCAAGCCGTTGCACATATTTATGGACTGGGGGGCCAGTGAACCACGACTCAAGTAATTCTCGGCTCACACGATTGTCCCCTCTCGCGAGAATTTCGGCCTCAGAAAGTTTGAGTGTGGCCGTGTCTCGTTGAATGAGCCTTGACGTGAGAATTGGCGTCATTTCTCCGCACTGCTGCTGTGTGTTCAGCAATTCGCATCTTGCGAAGTCTGCCAGTTTCTCTGACGTAGTTGCGCTGTCCACAACTGCAACCGATTCGATAGACGACTCCAGACGTTTTTTGCCGTGACAGTGGGCCTTTTGGTTTCATTAATCTGACGCCTTATGGTTGCCGCCGGTCTGTGCGCGACTCCAACTCCAAGGGGTACGAGAAGGCGGCCGACCGCCTCCGATACGTTTTTGACGTATGGGATCGCCAAAATTTGGGGTCGGTGCGATTTTTTGACCCGCTCTTGCTACTGCTTTCTGCTCACGCCTCTGAGGAAGAATCCGAGACGGGGGGCCGACAACACTATAAAAGACTAGGACAAGGCCGTTCTGACAAGTCATTGGCACGGAGTCTGTTGGAAGCTGTAGGCGTTGTATTTAATAAAAAAAGTTTGTGGACAAGAAAACTGTGTGGGAGGAAAGGGAAGTGTGGAAGCGGACCCAAGAGCCCAACGCTTACCTCAGAGCATACACTATGCACGTTATGTGGGTTAAGGCTATTAAGACGAATGCCGGAGTCTTTCTGGAAAAAACTCACAGGGGAGCGTGGACTATGTGTAGCCCATAGCAAACTAGGATCCACTTTTCGACACCGGGATGGGGGTAGGATGGTGCAGAGCAAACATCCTCTCGCTCAAGGTGATGGATGCATTCACACTCGGTGTCCTCTCAGGGTGAATGAAAAGTGGCGTGAAGATTTTAAATAAGAAAAAACCCAATGAGTAATAGGGCAAGAGTATGGAGTTCCTTTTTTTACGATCGACGGCTGATATACGGAAGGGCGACACCAGTCCTCACCATTTTCTTTTTTTGTGGTAGAATGTTTCAAGGTTGTGTGGGTTATTTCACATTGGTATTTTTGTTAGGTTTCGATTCTGGAATATTCTTGTCGAAAATAAAAGGGAGCGGATAACTTGTGTGGCTTTCAAAGCCTGAAAGAAGGGTTGATAACTTCTGGCACTCTACCCTCCCCCGGTTTTTATCAGTAATGCGGTAATGAGTACGACAGATTGAGTTGGAAAGGTGCCGAGAGCAACAAGTAATGACAATAAGTGATGTATTGTCTCCATTTGGAAACTTTCAATCCGCCGTTTGTGGGAGTGGTAATGAATTGACCCTACACGTAATGTTCCTGTCGGTTTTGACCTAGGGAAGAACGGTCAACGATCAAAAGAGCTCTGGGCCGCAAACCGGGGGCGGGGGCGGGTGATATTTCTGACCGAAACCGGCCGGAAAGATTAAAATCACGTCTGTTGAAGTTTCACACAGCTTCTATACAAAACCGCAACAACATCGAGCGGGACGATAATACTAAAAATACACAGAGGATACGTTGGGCGGCGAAACTCACTACGTGGCCGGCTGCGTCGCGCAGAGTCACCTCCACTTCAACTGTGAAGTCATTCTTCTTCCCAGACTTCTCAAAGTTGCCTGAGAGGAGCGTAACATAGAGATCATTTCGCGTGAATTCAGCGCCACCAGAGAAGGGTTCTGAGAGTCCGTAGGGTCGCACAACAGCACACTGTG